CCCACCGCGGGCGCTCCCCAGGAGCCGGGAGGCGTGCTGTCCCTGAGCCTCGGCTGAGCTTGCTGCCTGTCCCCTGCAGAGCTCCGGCGGCGGGGCGGCCGGGCCGAGGCCGAGTCTCTGGGCATGCTGGAGTCCGCCGAGCAGCTGCTGATGGAGGACCTGTACAACCGTGTCCGGGAGAAGATGGATGACAGCGGCCTGTACAACACCCCCTGTGTGCTGGACCTCCAGCGGGCCTTGGTCCGAGACCGCCAGGAGGCCCCGTGGAACGAGGTGGACGAGGTCTGGCCCAACGTCTTCATAGCAGAGAAGTGAGTCTGACCACGGGGGCCGCGACCTTTGTCCTGCCCCTTTGGGTGGCACTCCCCCAACTTTCACCCGGCCCCCGTCACTCCGTCCAGAAACCTGATGACCCCGGCCTCTCAGCCAGGCCCTGCCGGGGGGACGGCCCGACCCACCTGTCCACAGGCGGAGAGCCCCCTGCAGGATGCTGGAGGGCTGCGCTCGGGCCCCTGCCCGCGCCCCCCGTCATGCCTTGCCCCTCCAGGTGTCCTCCTGGGGCCTCCCTTCCCGCCAGAGCCTTGCCACACACCGTCACCATCGCCGTCACCCCGTGACATCCCCAACGACCATACGATGGGACATTAGAGCCACAGTGGTTGTCGTGTGTATTTAGCAACATGAGGAAATGTTGGCAACGAAGGATACATAGGCCGCAAAACACGTGTATGCAGGATGCGCTGAGTGAGCCCCACGCAGATGTGCGGGTGCCTTTGTGTGGGCGACAAATTAGCAGCACACGCGATAAAATGTTAATAGCACTTCTCTCTAGGAGGCGGTTCTGCTTTTATTTTCTTCTTTGGGTTTCCTTTGAATTCTACAGATCTCCCAGAGGAAACATACACACATAATCAGGGGGAAAAAAGTAATTTTATCAGCAGATTCCAGAATAAGTCTGAAAGCGACGCACTCACACCCTGTTCCTTCAGGGTCTTGCCTGTGCAGATGTGGCACCAACAGGCTAGTTTGTGAGCCTAATTTCTGCTGATCCATTGATTACTGGATGAGCTGTTCTCCCGACATAATTGCCCATCTGTCCAGAAGCGAAGGAGGGACTTGGGGCCCCCGGGGGACAGTGGGGAAACAGCTTCGAACACTGGGTCTTGTGCTCCACCGGGCAGTAATCGGTTGCCTAGAACTTGAATCCCAGAGCCCAGTGCCGAGTCCTGAGTGATCTCTGACGAGCTGTGTGGACCCAGAAACACTCACACAGTTGTCACCAGGGACCCCAGGCATCTCCAGGTGTCCCCAACAGATGGCCTGTGCTCCTTCTTGGGCAACCCTGTCCCCGGGGCCTCTTCAAACAAGGCTCCCTTCTCCTCTGCAGCAAAAAGGGCTCTGCGCCGGGAACCCAGACAGGTCCTTGAGCAGCCGGCCTCTCTCCGTGCCACCCTGGGAAGTCACAGCAGCACCCTGATCGTTCCCATAACCCTCAGTGGGGATAAAAATAATTGCCCCGTCTGCCTCTGCACTTTGTCACCAGGGTAAAATAAAGCGGTGTGTGTGAAAGGGCATTGGAGAATAAGCCAGATCCACACAGACCCACTATGCGACGATCGCCTCTGCCGCTTCTGAGTCTTGACACGTGTTTACTCCCCAGGCGTGCGACTCGAAGCTGGAGACCTGTGGCCCATCCGAAGGGTTCCTGACACACCAGTCCCATTCTCCCCATCCTGCCCAGGGCCTGTGCCTTCTCTCTCTTGCTGGGGCGAGTCCCCCGCCCCTTTCGAACACCACATTTGCAGTGAGCCCCGGACACCCTGGGGAGCGGAGAAGGCGGCACTCCCCAGCCGGGGCCCCCCTGACCGGCCCAGGCCGGCTGCATCTGGGGGGGAGGGCAGCTTGCTCGCTCCGACACTGGCAAAAAAGTGTCCCTGCCTCTGTCTCCCCAGGAGTGTGGCCGTGAACAAGTCGAGGCTGAAGCGGCTGGGAATTACCCACATCCTGAACGCGGCTCACGGCACGGGCGTCTACACCGGGCCCGAATTCTACACTGGCCTGGAGATCCAGTACCTGGGTGTGGAGGTGGACGACTTTCCCGAGGTGGACGTCTCCCAGCACTTCCGGAAGGCCGCCGAGTTCCTGGACGAGGCCCTGCTGACCCACAGAGGTGAGGGGGCCCGCCCGCCCTGGGCACTGGACTTCTGGCAGTCTGGGGGGGCACGTGGGGAGCGCTGCAGAAACCTGGCCGGGGCCGTGAGCCTGACCCACCCTGCGGAGAGGGGGAGGAAAGGCCGATCGCTCAGCCAGGGAGCTGGCACGTGCGGGCGAGGGACACAGGCAGGGCTTCTGGCCTTTGACTCTCCCACTGCAGTGAAGGCAGAAAATTAAAAAGAGAAAGGAAAATGTGAGATGCTGAGTGTGAGGCAGAGATCGTGGCGGGGACGGTGTGTTGGGGTGACGGCCAGCGCCTTGGCGAGGGTGTTGGGAAGGGGACAGGAAGGAAAGAGCACCGACGGCCCAGGCGAGCGCTAGTGCGAAGGCCCCGAGGAGCGTGAGCTGGGCCCGTGCGGGACGCAGGACGCGGTGCGGGTGAGCGCGGTGGATGCCGGCGCGGGCGGGGCCCGTCCTGCGGGAAGGCGAAGGCCAAGGTGCGGGAGTTGAAAGGCACCCGACCTGGGCTTCAGGGAGGTGAGCCTGGGAGCTAGAGAGGGGAGCCAGGGCTGGGGCTGTAGTCTGAGTAAGAGCTGAGGGGGGCGGGGTCCTCTGCAGAGGTGACGGAGGAGGGGCTGCGTGTGGCCTGTGAAATGGGGGACTCGGGACAAGGTGTCCAGACCCCGGCCTGGGGTCCGGCCTTGCCATGCTCGCTCTGGCCACCGAACTCGGCCTTATCCTTTATCCCGGGAGGCCCGTCGTCCTTAACTAGAGACCAAAGACGAAGGGGTCTGACCATCCTCAAACTGCCACGGGGGTTAAAACGTTAAAAAACCACCTGGCAAATAATGAGTGTTTTAAAATTACAGCTGTTACTCTAGTAAATAATACTGTTGATGATTTCTGGGAAGGTTGTGGCCTGTGTCACCACTGGCCGGGAAGGGTGACTTCTAATGGAAAAATTAGATAGATAGATGATAGATAGATAGATAGATAGATACATACATACATACATACATACATACATACATACATATATAGATATATCTTTATATATGTAAAAGGGGAGAAAATGTTTTTCATACATACATACATACATACATACATACATATATCTTTATATATGTAAAAGGGAGAAAATGTTTTTTTATATGTACAAAGTTTTATTAAGATGGAATTGATAAACTTTAAGCACGTGTATGCTATATATCTATGACATAGTTTTCTCCCCTTTCCAGTGCTTTTTAAAAATGCGCTCCTTCTGATCACAGTGGACTCCAGTGTGTCTGCCCTGCCCGTCTGTGGAGGGGGTGTGCTGGGCTGCTTTTCCTGGGCTGGGGGGCCTGGCGATTGCTCCCAGGGCCTCAGTGCCTCTGAGAACTCTGGGGAGGGAGGGGGACTGGGAAGTGCATCCCCAGAGACAGGAGAGAGGGACATTAGGGAGTGGAGGGCACAAGGAGGTGCTGGCCAGTGTCCGGGAGCGCAGGATGGCCAATGGGCTGGGAGGTCCCTGTCATGGTAGGGACACTCCGGCACTCCCCTGGGCCTGTCCCCTGTCCCTCAGGCTGCCTCCGAGACTCCTCAGGGGGAGGAAAGGCCGATCCCCCAGGCTGCAAGGAGCACAGTACAGAAAGGCACGGCCCCCGACCTGCCCTCCGCCCGGCGGTGTCCGGCAGCATCTGACGTGCTCGTGAGGACGCCTGGCTAGCTGTGTCCTGAAGTGAGCTGGCTGGTGACTCCCGCTCCAAAGGGAGCAAGTGAGACGGTGGGCCAACAGTGGTAGGTTGTGGCCTGGTCAGCCAGTTGAGGCGAGGTCCTGGGTGAGGGACAGCTGTCCCTGAGCTGGAGGTGGGTGGGGATAAGAGGGTGAACCTGTAGATTCTGCTCACTTACCTCCCGCTGGCGACCACCAGCTCTCGGCAAGAACGCCTTTCAGCATTGTTGGGCCTCAGGTCCCCTTGGGTCTTGCCTTGGTGTCTGACCTCCTATGTGCCAAAGGCATGGTCTTAACTGGCACAAAGATATACTAATAAAAGTCACCCTCGTCCCATATTGTTCGATAGGACTCAACCGATTTAATGAACATCTCCAAAAACTGTTGGCAAATAGGTTGGTGGCAGCCCAGAGGGAGGGCGCCAGGGTCCCCGGCTGCGTGTTAGACAGCCCTTAGGACGAAGGCACAGGGGCGTGGTCATCATGTTTGTGAAGGATGCAAAGCAGACAGGGAAGCTCGGGGATAACTGACTTATTGGAAGGTAGAGGCGAGAAGCTGAAGAACAGCTTATATCTACAAAAACATCAGTAGGAATTTGTAAAGTTATCCTTATGTCTGAAACATGATACAAGAGACACATGGCAATTAGGAGCGGTTTTTAAAAAGTCTATAGATTTCAGCCGATATAAAAGAAAATTCGAGTTCATTGTGTGACACATCCACCCACATCGCAAGCTTAAATGGCATCATGGAAGGCCCAGTGCCCAGAATGAGGGTGGCGAAGGGACCGCCCTGCTCTGTGGGTCAGCCTGAACCTGAAACATCTCGCTTCGTCCTGACACAAACTCCTAGGAAATAAACCGACAACATAAAGTTTGACCCAGGAGAGCGTGGCTAGTATAGTAATGGAACAGGAAAGGGTGTTTGAATAAGTTAGATCCAGGATGGCCAGGAAAAGAAAAAGGGAATTTAGCGAAGACTGTGACAGTGACCTCTGCGAAGATCTTTGTATGAAAGGCCTGGTCACTGTCAGCCCCAGATCGTCAGGGCAGGAGCCCTGAGTGCCTGCTGAGGACAGGTGCACTCTGCCCTGACATGAAGCAGCTGTCAAGAAATGAGAGTGAGGGGTGTGTGTGCACACGTGCGTGTGAGAGGGAGAGATACTGAGCTCCCTGTCCCTGGCAGCGTCCAGCAGAGGCGGGACGAAGGACGTCGTAAAGGGAGTTCTGGAGTTTCAGCTGCGACTTTGGCGCTTTCCAACATCAGTGTGCACGTCTCCGATTCCTCGTTCTCAGCCTCACTCTTTTCTTCCTTCTTCCTCCATCCCTCTTTTCATTTCTCCTCCCTCTGAGGCCGTGTGGCAGGGAGAATGTTGAAATGTCCTCCAGTGTTTCAGAAGCGGGGACAGTGGTTAGTTCCTTTCCCCCCACTCTGTGCCCAGGTTCAGACCAAGCAGGGATGTTTCCAAGTGCTCAGGCAGCCTCGCCGCCCTGTCCGATGTCTGTAATCGGGCACCATGATGCTTGACTGGACTGGACTTGGGCTGGGATGAAGGCCAGAGGCCAAGGAAACACGTAAAATTCAGCACATCAAAACAGTGCTTTAAAAAGACGAGCTGCAGGGACGTGCTGTGGTCACATCATTATTTCTTATGCTTTTTTTTTCTCCAGGGAAAGTCCTGGTCAGTAGCGAAATGGGCGTCAGCCGGTCGGCGGTGCTGGTGGTCGCCTACCTGATGATCTTCCACGACATGGCGGTCCTGGAGGCCCTGATGACCGTGCGCAGGAAGAGGGCCATCCGCCCCAACGATGGCTTCCTGAAGCAGCTCCGGGAGCTCAGCGAGGAGCTGATGGAGCAGAGGGACAGGGACCGTGGCCGGGAGGGGGGCGCTGGTGCTGCTGCGGAGGGCGAGGCCGCGGGGAGCACCCTGGGGGCCCGAGTGCAGGACCTCACCGTGGAGGAGGAGGAGGACGACATCGCCAGCCGCCTGAGTGGCTCCTCCCTGGGAGGGGCCAGCCGGGCCTCCAAGCCCCTGGGCCTCGGCGACGAAGACCAGGAGGAGAGGCCATATGAAGAGCGGAAGGGGGAGCAGGGGCCCCCCGCAGACACGGTCCCCCAGGGTGGGCACGACAGGGGCTGGGCCCAGGGTGGGGAAGGGCCCGAGGAGGAGGAGGAGGAGGACGTGGAGCGCATCATCCGGGAGTGGCAGAGCCGCAATGAGAGGTACCAGGCAGAAGGGCGCCGGGCGTGGGCGAGGGAGGAGCTGGAGGAGGAGGCCAGCGCCGGCTCCCCGGCGGGGGGAAGACGCATGCGCACCGTGAGTGAGCACAGCACCTCGGACAGCGTCAGCAGCCACGACATCCGCGTGCTGAAGCAGCAGCTGGAGCTGAGCAGCCGGCGCCGGGGCGGGAGACGCGACTCGGCGTCCACGGAGAGCAGCTGGGACGTGTGGAACCAGAGGCTGCTGGAGATCGAGGAGGAGGCCTCCAGGAGCTGCCAGCGCAGGAGCGGCAGAGAGGACGCGGGCGCGGGCTCGCAGGCGGCGGGCGGGCTGCGAGAGGACGACCGGGACAGCGTGTCCTCCGAGGCCAGCTCCTTCTACAACTTCTGCAGCAGGAACAAGGACAAACTCAGTGCCCTGGAAAGGTGGAAGATCAAGAGAATCCAGTTCGGGTTTCACAAGAGAGACTCGGAGGCAGCAGACAGCAGCGGTGAGCAGGGCGCAGAGGAGGCCGCGCGGGGGCCCAGGGTCTCGGCCGCCACCCTGACGGCCTACCAGGCCTGGAAGCTGGAACACCAGAAGAAGGTGGGCAGCGAGAACAAGGAGGAGGTGGCGGGGCTGGGCAAGGGGGAGGACGCCGCCCTGGCCAAGAAGCGGCAGCGGCGGCTGGAGCTGCTGGAGAGGAGCAGGCGGGCGCTGGAGGAGAGCCGGTCCGTGGGCAGCTGGGAGGCGGCGTGGGCAGCTGGGAGGCGGGCAGCTCGGCTGCTGGTGGGAGCCTCCCCCTGTCCGCGTTCTGGTCTGCGGCCGCCTCGGTCAGTGCCGATGGGGACACGGCGTCGGTGCTCAGCTCCCACCCGTCTCAGGCCGGGAGCAACCCTGGCGGGGGCTGGGCCTCCAGCCCTTCCACGCCGCTGCCGAACCTCCCAGTGGGGCCGGGGGACACCGTGTCCATCGCCAGCATCCAGAGCTGGATCGCCAGCGTCGTCAGCGAAACTCTCGCCCAGAAGCAGAATGAGATGCTGCTGCTGTCCCGCCCGCCATCTGTGGCCAGCTCGAAGGTGGCCCCAGCAGCCGCCTGCCCGGGGGACGACCAGGGCTCCGTGCTCAGCGGTCAGAGCACCTCCTCCCTGGGCCTCCCACCCCCAAACCAGGCAAGACCCAGCTCCGACTCGCGGTCCACACTGTCCTGCCACAGCACGCCGGACCCCAGGGCGGACGGCGCGGGGAGCCGGGCGCGGGGGCCCAGCAAGCCCGTCTACAGCCTCTTCGCCGAGCACGTGGACCTGCAGGAGCTTGGCCGGAAGGAGAGGGAGATGCAGCTGGAGCTGAGGGAGAAGATGTCTGAGTACAAGATGGAGAAGCTGGCCTCCGACCACAAACGCAGCAGCCTCTTCAAGAAGAAGAAGGTCGCGGGAGACGAGGCCGAGGACGAGGACACCGACAGCGCCATCGGGAGCTTCCGGCAGTCCTCCCGCGGCGACGCCCAGAGGCCGGACGCCGACGCCGGCTCCTCCCTGGCTGCCTCCGACCGCCCGGCGAGCGGCGGCCGGGCCGGCGCCGAGGTGGACAGCAGCATTCGCAAGTGGCTCAGCGGCCTGGGGGCGGAGGACAGATCCCCTCCGCGCAGCGACTGGTCTGGCGGCTCCCAGGGGCGGCGCAGCAGAGCGTCCCTGCTCCACACGGAGTCCAGGTCCTCCAGCTACAAGTTCTCCAGGTCGTGGCTGGAGGAGCAGGACACCCACGCCCACCGCGACGGCGGTGGCTCGGTGAGGAGCAGCTCGCGGGTCTCGTCCTCCTCCACCCGGGAGGGCAGCGAGACGCACGCCTTCTCCCGGGCCACGTTCAGCGAGGCCTCCGGCTCCCGAGAGGCCAGCCCGGAGCCCTACTTCTTCCGCCGGACCCCCGAGCCCCCCGCAGGGCCGGAGTCCCCGGAGCCACAGCGTCCGGACTGGGCCAGGCCCGGGGACCGGGAGGACGTGGAGGAGTCCTCCAGGTCGGACTTCTCCGAATTCGGAGCCAAGAGGAAGTTCACCCAGAGCTTCGCGAGGTCCGAGGAGGAGGGCGAGAGGGCGAGGACGGAGCGCAGAGAGGAAGCGCGATTCGCCTCGGGGCGCCGGGCCCAGCACCGCACGCGCGCCGCCGGGGAGGAGCAGGAGGAAGCGGACGACGAGGCCATCATCGCTGCCTGGCGACGCCGGCAGGAGGAGACCAGGACCAAGATGCGGAGAAGGCGGGAGGATTAGGCGTCCAGGTCGGCCTGGGAGAGGTCGAGGCCGCAGGGCCAAGCCATACAGCTCAGCGCTGGGCTCAGGGTGCGCTTGCCACTGGCCATCGAGGGCCGGGGATGTGGACTGGGTTCCCTGGGGGGCAGAGGCGCAGTGAGGGGTGCCAGGTGGGGGGGGCAGGGGAGGAGAGCCGTCCCTGGGAGGGGCCAGACCAGCGGACACCAATTCCCGTCGTCCATCGTCCGCTGAGCTGTGCCGCTTCATCACGCGTCTGACGGTGTCCGCCGCGGACTGGGGGTGAGTTCGCCAAGGCGGAGAGCTCGTGGGGTCGCCAGCTTGCCAGGAAGGCGGGGGACTCAGGACAGGTTCTGCGGGTAGCGGTTCTGTCACGAGACCCAGGGAATCTACCTGGCGGCAAGTCTCACCCCATCCCACGACATGAAGTTCTGGTCGCCGCTTTTCAGTGTTTTGGATCTGCATTAAAATTGGCATGTTGTCTAATATTTCTTTTTTATTCTGGTCACTTGCTTTTTAAAAAAAAAAAATTATTTACTCCCTTTTTTGAAGCATATGCTAGACACTGGGCAGAAATCCAGACAGATGAGAACTTGCCCTGAAGGAGCTAATAGTTTTCTCGAAGGAGCTAGGCAGTAGACGAGGAGCTTGGACTGTTCCGAATGCCGCTTATTTACCTGCTTCTGCCTGCCCCTCCGTCCGTCTCTCCCTGCTGCATGGAAGCTCCGTGGAGCAGTCACGCTTCGCTGCTGTGTTCCCGGTACCTAGGAGCCAGGTCTAGCTGACAAGGCACCTCCAACAAACACTCGCTGTGGCTGAAGACCATAGCACCCTGAAAGAAACAGGGTGACACGACCGAAAACGGTGGGGTTCGGGGGGCTGATTGCTTTAGACAGGAAGCATCTCTCTGTTGAGGTAATAATTAAGCTGAACCTGAAGGATGAGAAGGGGCTGGCCAGGCAAGGACCGCAAGGAAAGACAGCCCATGAAGAAATTAATGGGGACACTGAGGCCTAGGAGGTGAAATCATGAATTACCCAAGGCCACACGGCTGCCATGTCAAAGCCAGAATTCAAGCTGAGACAGTGTGATTTCAGAGGCCACACGCCTCGCAGGGATGTGAGGTCTGTGATGTGCTCAGGGCAATGCCTGGCACGTGATAATTGCTCAGTAAGCATCTTTGCCATCCCCTACTGGACTAAGTTTGTAAACCGATCCTGTTTTAAAAGCACGGAATTCTAGATGAGCCAGTTAATCAATGATTCAGCACAGATCGTTTTTAGGATCCAAAGAAGTCAGTTCGTTTCCGTGTAGTTTCGGAGTGACCCGTGCCTCTTTTTCTTTGCCAATGAGTGGGTGAGATGTTCAGGGCGCGATGGGAGAGAGGACGTCACAGAGGATTCTGAAATTGGGGGGGATTCTGAGCATCTGTGGGGGGCACGGCAGTCCAGCCAGCACTCGGGAGAGCAGCCCTCACCTACACTGACGGCTGGCAGAGTTGCCGAAAGCATTTCTCCCCGAGCCACAACGCGGCAAGAGCTTCCATTGGCCCAGTCTCAACAAATGTCCCCCTGCTCCGAGGCTGAGGTGGAGGGGACGGGAGGGGACGGGAGGGGACGGGAGGGGAGGGGAGGGGAGGGGAGGGGAGAGATCGTGGCCCTCCTCTGAGCCAGCTCCAGCCAGCGGGCTCAGACCTCATTCACTGGGCGGCTGAGAGCTGTTCGGGAGGGCAGGCGTTTCTCAGGGAGGCCAAAGGGCAGGTGGCAGGCGTGACTCACTCCCTTTGCAGGACATTGAGAACATGCGGCTTAAGTGGGTCATCGTCTTGTTAACGCTTCTGGAACAGGAAGACAATGCAACTGCTTCCTGGTCCCAACCCAGGAGGCCACAGAGCTCTGTCCTTCTTCTTTCTGGAATTCCCTGTGGAGGCAGCTGCCCACCACTCTGCCGTGCTCCGTGTGGCCCTGCTGACACACGCAAGCCTGCCAAGCCAGCGGCAATGTCCCCATTTTGCAGATGGGGAGTCAGTCTTGGACGCTGTGCCCCGAATCATGACGTAACTGGAAAAACAAGGATCTGAACCTCGGTGTATCTGATTCTAAAGCCACTTTTTCTACCACACTATTTTGCCTTTAGGAAAGATCCTCCAGGGAGGATTAAAACCACAATGGCAGAGAAATCTGGAATGTGACTGCAGGGCTGCCGACAGACTGGCCATCCCAGATACGGTCCCCGAACAAAGCCTGCGCGCGAGCTGGCCTGCCACCGTCCTCTGTGCTAACTGCTCACTAATAAACACTCCAGTGCGAAGGAGCGTGGGGAAGATGACAAGCTCGGGGCCCCCAGGGACTGCCGTGCAATAGGAGCTCCTCTTAAAAGACAGGATGTTCAAAGAGGCTAAGGTTGCCGCACGCTCTCTCTTCCCGACTCCGGGGGGACAAACCTTCATTCTGGGGAGTCACAATATTGGTGTCTCTCAGACAGCTTTCTCCTTTTAAAGCTGCACGGCGCAGGTAGCTGTGTAGCTCTGGATTTATCACAAAGGCTGCGAGGGAGGTGGGTCAGAGCTGGAATGTGTGTGTGTGCGCGTGTGCGTGTGTGTGTGTGTGTGTGTGTGAGAGAGAGAGAGAGAGAGAGAGAGAGAGAGAGAGACAGGGGGTGGGGAGAGAGAGATTAGGCAAATCTCTCATCCTCAGTCTCTCCAATGGGCCCCTAGTCGATAGCAATGGGGTCTCGATGAATGGGGACCCCAGATACAGCCCAAATGTGGGCAGACGGGTCTCGCGTGAGCCCTCCTTGGGAGACGTGTATTGTGCTGCACTGACAATGGACGGCGGCTGGGACCTGCCGATAAAGGGACCCCTCGTGGCTGTCCTCCGTTCCTTCCTTCCTTCTCTCGTTCCGCGAGCGTTCACGGAGCACTTACTGGGGGACGAGAATTGTTCCAGGTGCTGGAAATGCAAAGCTGGATGAAACGCAGTGTTTCTTTCTGAAGAGTCTGAACACAGTCTGGTGAGTTCTCTAACAAAGAAAGGCACTCCAGAGCCTCGAGCGCACGTCGGCTTCAAATCCCAGCCTGAGACGCGTTCCTTTGAGTTAAGGCACCGGCCACAGCGAAAATGTCTGTGAATTAGAGATAACTCAGTGGCACGGATTAGCCAGTGTCCCTTTGAAATGAGACAGACGCGGAGAAAGTAAGTTTTGATGAGAAATATCAAAAGGTCCCGGAGCCCGTATGCTGTGTCAGAGGGATAACAAAGGAACGGCGAGGCCATTTGCAAATCAGGAGAGGACCTCCTCCCCACCTGCCCGCTCTGCTGTGCTCGGCTTCTCAAGGTATCTGTGTCTGAGCGCGCCACAGGGAGTCACAGGGCAGGACACAGCTCCCTGCCGAGTCCGGACCCTCCGCTACCCCACATACGTGTGTTTTCAAAGGCTACGTGTCAGCAGTTCAGCCAAGCCGATCGAGGCTTTTTATTTGATCGTGAAAATTGCGGAATTTTAGGTGATATTTACTGGACACAAAAACATTGCGTTTGCTATGATGGGACGCCGGGTGACTTTTTTCCATCGCATTTACTATAATAAAATATTTTCGTCACCCCGTAATGATAGCAACATGAACGAGGCACTCTTAACTCTGGCTTTGCAGGCCTAACTGTTGGTGAAATCTCAGCGTGAGGCTGAGTCTGTCCAGGTGAACGCCACGTGATGGCGAACGAATGGGTCGGCCATCGGATCCCCAGGGTGCCCCCACTGTCCCCCCACGCCCGGCAAAACTACAATAAAATATTTTCGTCACCCCGTAATGATAGCAACATGAACGAGGCACTCTTAACTCTGGCTTTGCAGGCCTAACTGTTGGTGAAATCTCAGCGTGAGGCTGAGTCTGTCCAGGTGAACGCCACGTGATGGCGAACGAATGGGTCGGCCATCGGATCCCCAGGGTGCCCCCACTGTCCCCCCAAGCCTAGCAAAGCCGCCGGCAGTGCTCGGTATGAAAGGCAAATGAGCAGAACAAGCTCATTCCATGCAGACCATTCCAACTTTCCTTCCCTTTGGCCCATAAAATGTCACTTTCATTATTGTGTCATCTAGTCACGTAAGATGACGATCATACTGTTGATGTCGTTATGTAAAAGCTAGGAAATGGTCTAGAAAATTTTAGAGTACAGCAGCGTCGGATATTATACTTTCGTCTTGTTGTTATGGAAAATTATGTTTCTTCAAGCCTGAAGCTTTAGGTTAATTTTCAGAACTCCGCCCCTTGACTTCCCCCGAAGACAGTCGCATTGGCCATACCCCGAGCTATCCCCCCATCTCTCCACAAAACCTCTCGACCGGTCTTTGAGCGCCTGCACCCCAGCCGCGTTCCCGGGGCTCACCGAGGCCTTCCTGTAGAGAAGCCAGCGCACGCCAGCTTCGGCCTCTGCGCAGTCTCAGTGTTCGGGCAACAGCCAGCAGACGACATTTCGATCACCACTTTACAGGTGGAAAAGCAGGTTCGGGAATTAAAGGAATCACTCACGGTTGACCAATTAGGAAAGACACGGTGGGGCGCCCACCTTGTACTTGGACCCTCGACCCCACGATTTCTCCACTATGCCGTCCGAATGATTTTAGTTTCAGATGCAAAGCAAGATGTGAAGGCTTTTCAATTTTTTAATGAAAAATCGATAATTAAAATGTGCCTATTACAACATCAAAGGCTCTTTTCTTTCTTTCTTTCTTTCTTTCTTTCTTTCTTTCTTTCTTTCTTTCTTTCTTTCTTTCTTTCTTTCTTTCTTTTTTTTTACTGTTATGGGTCAGCAACACGATTTCCCACAATTTTCACCTTCACTCCCCCTCTAGCTATTAGGCACTTTCTATAAAATTATCAGTTTTCTTGGGGTGATTTTTAAAATTTCCTCCTTAAATGGGATTCCGGTTTTCCTCAAAAACACCTTTACGATTCCCAGACACAGTTTTCCCCCTAAGCTTTTCTGGGTGGCAGTACCTTTTTG